GCCAGGAAACCCTGTGGCTTCCCCGTCACCATCTTTGCACCCTAAGTTAAAGGAGTCTTTTCTAGTTTGTGTGGGTTTTATCCTGCTGAGGGTCATGCAGAAGGAAGAATCCTCCTCTTCAAATTATGTTTCTTTTCTTGTTCCTCTAAGGATGCAGAGTTTTTGAAATGTAACAACTGGGAAGGCACAGCCTATTTGCTTTGTTCTCTCCCCCGCCCCCCCCCCCCAAGCCACAGGCCATAGTCTTCTTCTGACAGAATGTGTGTGTGGGTGTGTGTGGGGGGGGGGGGAGCATGGGGTGGGGGCAGAGGAGCACGGAGGAGGAAAGAAATAGTGGGCAGAAAATGGTTATTATGTCCATGGTATTATGCACTGCTTGTATGTGTGCAGGCAATGTAGTAGATGCTGGGCCTGCCTTACTTCATTTAACAGGGCATTTAACAGAGCCCTGTAGATACTGGATCTCAATTTTAAAAATGAGGAAACTGGAGTGCCTGGGTGGCTCAGTCAGTTAAGCATCTGACTCTTTGGTTTCGGCTCAGTCACGATCTCGTGGCTTTGTGGGTTTGAGCCCCACATCAGGCCCTTTGCTGAAGGTGTAGAGCCTGCTTGGGATTCTCTCTCTCTCCCTCTCTCTCTGCCCCTCCTCTACTGGTGCTGTCTCTGCCTCTCAAAATAAATAAACTTTAAAAAAAATTTTAGATAAAATTAAAAAATAAAAATGAGGAAACTGAAGCACAGAGAGGTTGACAAATTAGTTCAAAGTCACATGGCCAGTAAGAAGAAAAGCTAGTACTGAAACCCAAGTCCCTCACACAGGTAAGCTGGGCTCTTGGCCACTTAACTCCTGATTGGGACTTCCAGCCTCAGGTTTTCTGGGAGCAAAAGGAAGGCAGTGAAAATTGGTTTTAAAAAAGGGGGTGGGGCACCTGAGTGGCTCAGTCAGTGAAGCGTCTGACTCTTGATTTCAGCTCAGGTCGTGACCTCACGGTACATGAGATTGAGCCCTGCCTCTTGGGATTCTCTCTCTCTCAAAATAAACAAATAAGCATTTAAAAAAGGAAGGAAGGAAGGAAGGAAGGAAGGAAGGAAGAGGTGCCTGGGTGGTTCAGTCAGTTAATCATCCAACTTCTGCTCAGGCCATGAACTTGTGTTTTGTGAGTTTGAGCTCTGCATCGGACTCTGTGCTGACAGCTCAGTCTGGAGCCTGTTTCAGATTCTGTGTCTCCCTCTCTCTCTGCCCCTCCCCTGCTTACACTCTGTCTCTCCCTCTCAAAAATAAATAAGCATTAAAAAAATTAAAAAAAAGAAAAGCTGTGACAATACCATCATTCTCAGTGACATGGGCAACCAGGAGGGGCAGTGAGGTTGGCATTGTCTGTTTGAGAGAGCATATTTCTGCCTGCCTGAACTTGATGTTGGACTAGGATGGCAAGCCAGGAATGAGCTGCAGGTTCCCCTCAGCCTCAAGGTAGCTAAAATATAATTTCCAGTGTATGCCCTGATGTGAAAAGTATTATCTCTTGTCATTTGAGGTAGTTTTATGGTACTTTCTAGAAGCAAATGAGGTTTGAGTTGTGTTTAGACAGTTGCTCAACTCAGTGTGGCATATTATAAAATATCAGGGCTATCTGTTGCTGCACATCATGAAATCAGGGCTAAATAAACAACCCAAGAGTTTACAGTTATTATTTTATGATTTACTGCATGGGTAGAAGTTGTTTTAAATGAAAAATTCAAGTTTATTCAGTATCTATCTGGGCCAGGGGTAAGGTGGGAGGATGGGAGGATGGGGGGATGCGGGGGGTGGGCAATGGGGCATGAAGAGGGTCCTGCCAAGGACTGCCCTGGGTGGTAGATAGGAAGAGTTTGGGACTGTGGAAAGGGCTGGGAGTGGGGGTTAAGATACTAAATTCTGGAAAGGGCAAAAATAAGACCTGTCCCTCACCTCTAGCCTAGAGCCGCATTCCCTGGACCTCTTTGAAATTATTACCCAGAAGCCTCCTGTGTGAATCCCACATCAAAAAAGATTG